AAGACTCAATCTGCCCTATAGCAAGGGTGTTTCTAAAGCGCCTTCTCATTGCTCGTTGCAAAACAAATCAGGTAAAGTGTTAAAAAAGAATACTTACCTTATTACCTAGAGAAAGCTGATAACGTTTTGCTGTATATTCATCTAGACTTTGTTTTGGTGTGTGCACGTAATTAACTTTTTTCTTTGGAAAAGAGCTGTAGGTTGACTCCACATGCTGATTTCTTTATTATTGAAGTATTTTCATGTCAGTATTCAAGGCTCAACGCCCTGTGTTTTAGTGGCTGCATAAGACTGGTCCAGTCAGTGAAAATAATGCATTGAACCGTCTTCTGTTAATGAGCAACTAACTGTGTTTCCATTTATTCACTGTCCTAGTAACATTGCGGTGAATGTTTCCATAGTTAAATCCTGTGCCGGGGAGGTGACTGCATTCAGAGTACATTCCGGGGAGTGACTGGAATTGAAGGTGCATTTTAAACTAATCTTTACTGGTAAATTGCCCTCTAGAAAGCGTACGTTTTTACCAGTGTAGGTGAGTGAAGAACCTGAAATTGTAATGTTCTAGTCAAAATATTGCCTTGAGCAGAAAAACCCATGGCTTCTCCTTATACAGGGCACAGCGAGCGCCCCTGCTGACTCCACCCCAAACAACTTCCATCCGATCTCCTTCCCGTCCTTAGTCGCGGAGTTAGCCCGGCCCTAGCAGACCCCTGCACCTCCCCGAGCGGGGGGTGCCCACCATCAGGGTCTCGGGTCGGGCTGGTCCGTGGTCCCTCACCCCCGTCGGGACAGGGCTCCCCTGAGTCCCGGGAGCAGGGCTGCCTCGGGCTCCAGCGGCGCCTGCTGAGCCGCCTTTTCCTGCTGACGGACTGCTCTGCTCTCATGGCGGCGTCACACGTTCTTAACAGCAGGGACTGGTTTCGTGGCCCCACGGCTACCCTGTGGCGGTGGGTCCCACAGTGAGCAGCTGGGAAGGCCTTGTCCCGAGGAAGCACGTTGAGAGGCGTGTTTCCGGGTGAACCTTCGGTGGAGCCTGAAGAAAGGATTCCTCCCGGTGATGGTTTCAGGCCTGCCCTGGCCTCGTGCCGCAGCCTTGGCTCTGCTCTTGAGAGACATCCGTCGTCACTCGCGCTGCCATTGGCCGTGTCAGGAGGGGCCGCCTCCTCTCCTATAGCATCCCCCTCCCCCCAAACTTGTCGGCATGCGCTCCTCACTGCCGTGCAGTTTGTAATTAAAAAGCCAGTTTCATTTCAAAACGACTTCGGGAGGATGAGTGTGGCAGGGCAGTCCTGCAAGTTAGTCTTGGCAGGGGCTTCAGGTAGAAGCCAGCAGGGCCCACCTCCTGCCCAATGAAGAGATGGCCTAGTGGTCTCGTTATAGGAAGGCTCGTGTCTCTGTGGTTCGACCCTTTGATTCCCCTTTAACCCTTGGGAGCCAACACGATACTTTTTTGCATAGTAACCCTGCAGGTAGTTGAAGTTAGCTACTGGGTTTCCTCCCAGTCTTCTTTTGTAGACCGAATACCAGTAGTTTCAGTAATGAATAAGATCAAAAATTGGTTTTAGTTTTGTGTAGGATGAATTTTCTTTTTTTGTTAATCCTCCCCTGAGGATATTCGTTTTAACATTGATTTTTAGGGAGAGTGGGAGGGGGAGGGACACAGAGAAACATCGATGTGAGAGAGTGTGAGGGACACATTGATTGGTTGCCTCCCGCACGTGTCCTGACAGGGGTTGGGGATTGAGCCTGCAACCGAGGTACGCGCCCTTGATGGGAATCAAACCAGGACCCTTCAATCCATGTGCCGATGCTCTATCCACTGAGCCAGACTGGCTAGGGCTAAAGATTTACTTCAGTGAGGAAAGTGCAGATGGCGGCCTGGATTGGTTGGATCACGAGCTTGTTGGGCGGACTGGTGAGCTTGTAGACCCCCTTCTGAATGCTGTGGAGATATGAACAGTCAGCTGGGGTTCGCTAGGTTGGTGCCCTGCGTTCTGCCTGGGGACCCATCCCGTGGGGAGTTGACTGTCTGTGACTCAGTGGCCCAGGCCATGGTGCTACTCGGGTGTATTTAGATGGCGTGGACGGAGGTCTGGCCAGCTCCCCTCCAGCCATTGCAGTGCAGAGCAGAAGCTGGCCAGGTGGTAGCCAGGAGAAGCTCTGTTGGCCACGTGGTCTCCGGACTTGTAAGTGGGCTCATGGCCGTGGGGCTGCCTGCACGGAGCTCCCCTCCCGTAAGGCTCTATCTGCAGACAGGTGTGAGCCGCACTTGGCCGCGGCTCTGGCTTGCTGACCCCACCTTTACAGTGACGAGGTCAGGTACATGGAAGAAGCTGAGTCCCTAATGGCAAGAGGTCTTCTTACCCCACCTTCATCTTCCTTTTTAAACTTTCGGGTCATTTGAAGCGACAGTGAAATGAGTGTGTCTATTCAAGTAGTTTACAGTTTGACCTTGACATACCAAAGTCAAACAAAACGTGTCTTGATATTTTCCTAAGTTACATTCTTATTGGGTAGCTTTCCCCTTTTTTAGACAGAAAATATTTTATCTCACAAGCTCTTCCTTATTTTATGCTATAAATAGTTGAGTTGGAATTTGAAAAGACGAGGTAATGAGATACATTCCTTTTTAATAGCGCAGACTAAAACCAAAATGTGTGGTTCGGGTGGCTAATCAGAAGACTGATAGTAATGAACCAGTTTGTTTTGTTCTTGTCACTCTTATTTCCTATTTGGATAGAGTGTTCGCCCACCTCATCACAAGATAATCGATGCGCTTCCAGGTTAAGAAATAGCATTTTTAGTGAAATGAAACATTGCACTGCTGTTAGCAGTGAGGCCCCTGCCACACTGAGCATGTCTGCGTGGCGAGATGTGAGGGAGTTACACCACAGGGAAGTGTGTGCGCAGGCGCAGGAGTAGCCACAGACCTTCCACAGTCAGTGTCCGTGTGAAGAGAGTGTTTTTACTGTTTTTAGGAAATTTGTTTTCGCGTAAGTTTGGTTCAGTATGGACACAGCTTCCTGTAGGCGTGTGAAAGTCCCGGGGGCGCAGTGTGAGCGGAGTAAACACTGACCCCACACCAGTACCGGGTGCGCACACGTTAGCGGTGCTCGGAGAGGAGGGCTGTGGCCGTGTGCGTTTCCTTGGCTTCCTGGACGCGCTCACATGGCCCGCAGTTGTCATTCAATGCCGACTGAGCACGGGAGGTGCATTTTCCGAGGTTCCTCTCTGCACCCCTCGGTGTGCCTGGGAGGGGTGTCCCTTCCCTCCCCGGGGTCCTCGGGCCTCCTCCCGACTTTGCTCGGCACTGTGCTCCCGCCCTCCATCAGGCCCTCCTGCAGGCCGCTGCCCTGACCCCAAGCAGGCATCGCTCAGAGCCCCCGCCCCCCCCCCCCCCCGTGTGTGTGTGTGTGTGTGTGTGTGTAGATTAAATATGTAACAATAGAACACCGGGCCGGTTGGGGCATGTGGCAGGGACAGTAAACACAGCTGCCACATGGTTGTCGTCGTTGAAAGCCCTTCCGCCTTCCATTTCATCCGCTCACTGCTGACTCGCCCAGGACTCCTCTCTTGTAACACTCGGCTCACGTTCAGCTGCCCCTCAGGTCTGCGCTTCCATGCTGTGAGCCCTCTACCATGGGACCGCTCAGCCGACCGCTGGCCCCATCTTCCCAAGTGACCGACCGTCAGCCGCCGTGCTGCGGCTTCTCCCTCGTCGCCACTGCTGCCTGTCTTGCTGCGACGAGGCCTGTCTTCCTTTAGCCCTTCGGGCCTTTTCCACTTGCCTCTCTGACTCTGAGTCCTCTAGCCCCCCACGTCTGTGCTCCGAGCTTCTGTGCTGAGCTTTTCTCCTCCTCCCGCCCCCTCCTCAGGGACCCCCTGCTCCTGGGCGTCGGAGGCCTAGCCACAGCGGGGTTCCTGGGGTGTAACTGACCCACCTGTTCGCAGCCCAGGCTACACCCCGAGGTGCTGCGGCATCGCAGGCTCGGCATTTCCTGACTCACGCAGCTGCTGTCCTCGCAGCGCCCTCGGGCTCCCTGTGGCTGTGACAGCAACACCCTCTCCGCCTCCGTCCTCTGGTGCCCTCTTTGCCACCCCTGTCCTCCTCGACCCATTTTCCATGAGCTGGGGCTACCTGTACAGCATCTGCCAGACATTCCTGTGTGCACCTGTGCAGAGAGAGACCTGGAAGGGATTCATCCCAGGCAGAAAGTCTTTGATCCCTGGACGATGGGATTATGGCGTGGGAAGGTTTTTGGTGACGGGCATTTATTATTTATATACTTGTACCCACTGTAATCTTGCTCTCAACCCTCCGTCCGTGGAACGCCTGGCTCCTTCCTCGTGCGCCTCGCCCTCTGCCCCTCACCTGCGTGCGAGCCTGGTCACTCACCCTCTGCATCTCCTGCTGTCAGGAGTGACCCGCCTCCCAGCCGCCGTGCTCTCCCCACCAGCGCTGCCCGTGTCGCTGCCCTGCCGCTGGCCCTGCCGGGTGTGTGCCCACCCCTCTCTTAGAGGTGCGCTCCGGGGGGCAGAGGTGGGTCTCCATCTTCCCCCTTGGGTTGCGGTCTCCAGCGTTCCTTCCCGCGGCTGTGGTTTTGGTGGATGGGCTGTGTCCTGCCAAGAGGATGCGCTTCCCTGGAGCTGGAGTTTGGAGCCGTGGGACCCAGGCCCAACGGTGACCGGCGCTGCTCCACCCCGGCCACGGCGCTCGGAAGAGCCCCGTGAGCTCCTGCCTCCCGACCCGGAGCTGCTCTGGTCCCTGGACTCCAAGGCGGCCGCTGCAGCTTTCCCTTCGCATCTGTGAGCTCCCGCTTTCTTTACAGTGAATGTCAGTCTGTCTCTCTGTCTCAGCCAGCGTTTCTGTTGCTTCGACCTAAAGGTTTCTCCCAGCAGAGCTGTTCTGATTAGAGCTGACTAGACTTGGTCATTCCAGTTCTTACATTGAGTCTGATGTGTTTTTTCCTTCTTTTTAAAAACAAAATGAAACAAAACAGCCCGAGACTGCTGCTGCGCTGAAGCGGACGATAGAAGCCCTGATGGACCGGGGGGCGATCGTGAGGAACTTGGAGAACCTGGGGGAGCGGATGCTTCCTTATCGGATCTCTGCCCACAGCCAGCGGCACAACAGAGGCGGGTGAGTTCCTCCCCGGGCCCGCCCCGGAAGGTGCTGCTCAGTTCCCCTTAGAAATGACTAGTCCTGCGCCCGGCGGTGTGCAGCTGCGTCGCCGAGCAGTGGGCGCTGCAGGTGGGTGGGGTGCTGCCGCCCATCACTGTGATCTGTGCAAACAGGTGGTGCTGGGAGCAGCGGGTTTACAAGCTTTTGACTGTGGGAGATGTTTCATTGTCACCCTAAGTCTCGCTTTCCCCGGTCATTTCTTTCACTTTGGCCTTGAAAAGACCTCATGAGCAGCGTGTCCTGCACATGCTCAGTGCGTCCTTCGTGAACGTGCGGGCTGCAGACAAGCCAGAGGTGCTGCTGACGGCGCTGCCCCCGCGCCTAACCCACGGCATCTGCTCAGCCACGAATCGCAGCTTCTTGTAATGGACTGTTTCTGTCACATAGTACAGGGCGTCCCCAAAAATGCAGGCACAGTTGAACAGCGGAGAGCTCCAGTTTGGAAATGAGATGTATGTTAATAAACACCGCCTTTTTAATTACGCAGAGTGTGTGCAGACTTTTTTTGGGACACCCTATATATAACCACTTCCTCAAATGTGCCAAGGATTTGAGTCTGTGGTAAAATAACGGTCCTGTGTAGAAATTCTGAGCCCCGTTGGTTGAGTTGGTACGAAGCTTCTCTAAGCCCTGACGGTGTCTTCTTTACGCCCCGGTTTCTGGTGGAGGGAGGCCATCTCGAGTCGCTGGGTTCCCTGGAGTAGGGGTGGAGAAGGTAGAGGCAGTCGTTCATGCGATGGAGGGTCCCGGAGAAGGCTGGGTCTCCCTCCACTCGACTGCGCAGTCCAGGGGTAGGCGGGCAGGGCTGCTCATGGGGCTGCAGTTAACCCTGCTGAGCCAGGGGCCCGGCACGCTCCCCGGTGGCTGCACCTGTGTGTGCTGCGCTCTGCTTCTCGAGGCATCTCTGCAGAGTGCCTGAGGCGTTGCTAGGCAACGTGAGTGCACAGTGGCTATTCCTCTTGCACCGTCATAGTAACAGTGAGGATGGAGGTTGTGCGTGTAGCATTAAAAAAACCTTAACAGTAAAGGGGGTTGGTTTAATGGCAAGGCTGTGTGTGGGTCCTTTGGCCTTTTTGTTGAAGAGGAGCACATAAATGTGGCGGAGAATGGCGAGCCGGGTGGGGGTGGGGGTCCCTGACAGGGGGAGTCGGCCCCTCGTGTGCTTTCAGGGGGCGCAGCGGCGCTCTCTGCCCTTTTCTGGGGGAGGAGGGGGAGGATTTCGCGGGGAGGGTCGGTGTGACCCTCTGGGGCGGCGCCTCTCCCGGTGGGTGGCGCAGCTGCCCCCACGAGCACCGCACCTTGGGCAGCCTGTGTCCACGCGGCGCTGGCGGGCTGGCGCTGCCTTCCTCGTGGGTGGAACAGATTCTGATCCTGGAAAACCCCTGGGCCTGAGCCAGAACCGCGAAGACAGCGTCGCCGTCCCTGGTCCTGCGCGGCCACGAGCTCGTTTCACTGGAGGATTTACCCCGCTCTCCTTCCGCTCCGCCCACAGCAGAGGAGCAGCAGCATTCTCAGCGTGTGCGCTGTACACAGACACGGGGGGAGGGGGCCAGAGGAGCCTCTGTTGACGCTTGTTTTCTGGGGTACATCGGTGTCTGGTATTTTTGAACGTGTGGCCTGTGAAGTGCTGGTTACACAGGCCGGCGAGGTGCGGTGTCTGCGTCAGGGAGGGTGGGAGCTCGCACGGTCTCCCTTCCCGGAGCCGCTGCGCAGTCAGCAGCTCTTCCTGAGCTGTCCTGGCGGCCGTGTCCCTGTCGTTCTGGCGGGGCCTGACTCAGCCCTGAGGCTGCTGTGTTGGAGACGGTGTTTCGTGGCTAATGCATGAGCCCCGATGCCCCTCAAGACTCACGCTGTGCTGCGGAGCTGCTGGTGTTGCGTTTGTCACTTTTACATGTTGCGGAAGAAGGGGTGTGTCCTTGCGGAGTCCTGGGCCTCAGGATGGCTCCCGTGATGGTCGTGGTTGCCGATCTCCAGTCTTCAGTTGCGTTGGGCGCTTACCTACACGCGGCCAACCTGGGCACCGCCGGCTGTGAGGCAGGACCCGCACAGCAGGTTCGCCTGCCCGGCTCACAGCCAGGCACCTGCAGGGACGTCCCGTCATGTGGGGTGACTGCCTCTGCCATTCCCCACCCTCCCCTCCTGCCCGCATCACACCGCTGCCGCACACGTGCCACGTGGGCCTGAAAGGAAAGCAGGTGGAAAGGGCTTAGGAGGAGAGATCCCACAGTTAGGCTCAGCCACGGAGGGCGACAGCGGCCACTTGCTTGTTATTGCATCAGGTCCACGCATGCAGTTTATGCCAAAAAATAAACATGCAATTGTTATAGTCCAGATATTAACTTGGTCAGCCCTGCGTTAGGAACAGGCAGCGTTCCAGAAAACGTGTCTGTAAGTCTGTTGTTTGTCCTGGGAACCTGTTTCCCATTGGAACAACCTGCTGGCCAACTTCTCAGGAGGATCCACAGAAACGTGTGTCACTCCGTCTCGGGGTGACAGCACACATTTTAAATGTCGCCGAGGGAGCCTGGCCCAGGCCTCCTCTATCAGGGTCGGTGGCATCTCGGGCATCATCTTAATAAAAACTGATGAGACTGCTTTCCAGGGAAGTCACTTCCCTCCTCAGTTGTCCCCCTGGCCGTGTGCGTTTAGGAACAGGGAGCAGTTGATGATTGGGCCAGGCTGGGGTGCGGGAGGAGGGTGGGCCAGGCTGGGGTGCGGGAGGAGGGTGGGCCAGGCTGGGGGGTAGGGGGGAGGGTTGAGTCTTCTGCCCCTGCTGTCCAGGTGGAGGCCGGAGGCCGTGTCTGGAGACCACGGAGCAGGCCTCGGAGCGGGTTCTTCGAAGGCCGGGGTTCACTCCCGCTCTGCATTTGCTTCAGCCTCATGGGGGCCCCTAGATGTTCTCTCCTGTGAACCTTTGCGTGCTCCCTGCACCTCATGCCCCCAGGCAAGGGGGTGTGGAGTGAGACAGGCCGGCGCCATGGGAAGGAGGGGCAGAGGGGCAGAGGAGGGGCAGAGGGAGCGGGTGCTTATCAGTCCTGCAGGGTCTTAGCAGCAGAAGCACCTTAGTGCCTCCCCGCTGCGTGTGCTGGTTCAGCTCTCCCTCCACGGGATGGGGCTGGGAGGGAACAGACACGCAGTGGCCAGCCCCGGGCCGGCCTGCGTTTTGTCTGTAAGGTGCCCGCTTGGCCTTGCCTACGGCTGCAGCGAAACGCTGACTCGGAACACAAGCCCCCAGGAGGCTTTCTTCCCTGTCTGTCCCTCTCTCTCATCTGCTTTAAGACGTGAATAGGTGTGAATAGCAGAGACTTGCGCACGCATAGAGCTGCCTTTCTGTTTACGGTGTGCAGCGATAAAAATAACTGGCTGTGGGGAATCAGTGGAATTTTACTGACTCGCTCCCCACATGTGTCTGCAGCCCGCTCCCGGAGAGCTGGCACCAGGAGATGGGCGCCCTGCTGTGGTCTTCCCAGCGGCCAGCGTTCCCATGTTCTTGTGCAATCCCATGTGTTCCCATGTCCCCGTGCATTTGCATGTTCTGCATTCCCATGTGTTCCCATGTTCCCGTGCATTCCCATGTTATTCTGCATTCCCATGTGTTCCCATGCATTCCGTTGTGTTCCCATGTCTTGTGTGTTCCCATGTCCCATGCCTGCCGGCAGCGTAGTCCACCCGCAGCCCGCCCGGCCTGTGTGCAGTTCTCCGTGGCTGGCAGGGAGGCTGCAGTGGCCTGGGCTGCCTTAGTGGTGGGTCCAGGTGTGTCTGAGCCTCAGGGGGTCGGGGCTTTCTGTGTGAGCGGCGGGTGGGAAAGGAGCGGCTTTCCCAAGCAGAGGCCTGGGTCCGGGGGGTGGGGAGGCTCACCGCCCCGGGGAGCTGGCTTCAGCGGGTCCGACCACACAGCCCAGGACTGGCATCCAGACAGTCTGTGTTCTGTCTCCAAAAGGCTCCAAGACGCTTTGGCTCCAAACCCCTCCCCTCCCCCTGCCGTCCCCCTCCCACCGCGAGCCACGGAGAGTTCAGTGGAAATTTCCACTTGTCGGCTGGGGGCAGGGAGACTGTGAGTGAGTGTGTGAATGTTTGACAGACAAAGAACCCAGCTCCCATTCAGGCAGGCGCTGGCTCTGGAAACCCGTAAACGCAGCGCTGAGACAGTGACATGAAAAAGCCACCGCAGCCGATGTCGGAGCTTTGCGGGAAGACGCCCTCCCTCAGCTCGGGGCGGGGGCAGGAGGGCTGGTGTCCGGCCCGGGGCGGGGTGAGGGCCCAGGGAAGGGCAGAAGGCACCGAGCGGCCGGCTCCCGGAAGCCGCCCAGGGCGAGTGTTCTCGGTGGCCCTTTCCACTCCGGCGCATTGGTCCCGGGGAAGCCGTTTCTCGGGTTGGGGGCGGGGGGGGGGGATCGGTAGTGAGTCTTGAGAAATACGAAGGTGGGTAGGTTGTCCTGGTGACTCGAGGGGCAGGGCCTGCCTGTGAAACAGGGCCGTCCTGCCCGCGGTGGGCACGGGCATCTGGGGTGAGAAACGCACTGGTGTCCGGAGCCCCTGTCCTCCCCCCAGAACAGCCTCCTTCCTTCCGCTGATGCCGAGGTGCTGCGGCCCGAGCTCAGTGCTTCTCCATAGCAGCGGGCCCGGCGGGAGCCGCACATGGACAGCGCCCTTCAGTGCGCCGCCGGCGCGGCCAGGGCTTGTATGGGCCCTGCTACCCCGCGCCATGCCCTGCCGGCGCCTCTCCGGTGCCGCCGAGCAGTGGTGAGGGGCTGGGGATGGACAGCAGTAGGTCTTAGGTGCCACGCTGGCCAAGTGGAGAAGGGACGCGAGCTGTTGGGAGAACGTTATTTATCACCTTGTTTCTCCTGGAGCACCAGCTTCAGGGGTGTGGGCAGTGCAGTTCTGTCATAATTGTAGACTGTTCTCCCTGGAGTGAGGGCTTGTGTGAGGACGGAGGTAGGAACGGGTCCACGTGG